CCCAGTCCTAATGCAGCTGTGAAGCAGCCAAACACGATGGCCTTGAGCTCCAGCAGCAACTAATAACACCAGTACTGTTATCGACGTTCTTCTCATAATATGTCTGAACTGACACACTGAAACTAAAATACAGCTATTACGAAAAAGAAAATTAACTCTATTCTAGCAAAACCAAGACAACCATAAGGCAAATATTTCCAAAGTAGCCCCTACAAGACAAAGGTGGAGAGTCATGCAGTATCATGTACAACAAGCTCTCTGAGACCTATCCAGGATAAGCCTCAAATTTATTTATGGTTACATTCACAGTTTGAGCCAAACAATCACTTTGTCAGCAGTCTATACAGTCTGTGAGGAGATGCTCTGGCTATTCACACAGCCCTCATACTACATATGAGTATTTCAGTCTACTCAGAGCATGGATTTCGAACATGTCACCATGAAGTACAAAAGTTTTAAGGTTAGTAACTTCAGTATTTCTCCTGAAACAAATACTGGCACTATGGTCTAGAAATCTCCCAATGAATCAGAGAAGTTTGGGGAGAATTAGAATCCAGGAATGTAGGAAAAACAATCAGAAAAGTTCTTGATTTTGTAAAGTATTATTTTCTGGATGGCTGTTTCTTAGGAACAGTCAGTTAAAATAATCCCAAATTTGAGTTACAGAAAAATAGATTACACTCCATGTTAGCATGTAAATTTTAGGTTACTCAAGCTTTAAACAGAAATAGATGCTGTTCAACTATAACACAGCTGTTAAGTCTGCTACAATTGTAAAACTACTTGCATTCGATTTGCCAGATAATTGAGTCTGATACACCAAATTTATAATCAGAAGTACTTGGGGTTAAAAATTCCACCACAGATCATTTTCTTTTTCAGGAATTGATACCAACATAAAGGACAGTTTGGGTAGAACGGTTTTAGATGTTCTTAAAGAACATCCATCTCAGCAGTCACTCCAAATTGCAGCTCTACTTCAAGGTAAGTCATATTTAGTTATACATTTGTGAGAGACAAATCGGAATAGCATGGAGGAATATTAAGATATATAATAATTTCTACTCTTTAAATATTTAATTATACAAAAGAGTAGTCATTTGAATTAAAGAGACAAAATTCTTGTTTGCTAGATACACAGAATTAAATGGCTGAACATCTGAATTTCAGAGTAAACCCTTTCTTTTTTTCTGACAATAAACATTAGCATGGTGTGTCATTTATAATTACTCTCTGTACATTCTTCATAAAGAAATAACATTGAAATTTCACTGCAGTTCCATTAAATTGTGATGGTAAACTACAATTGAAATGCCTGATTCTTTCATAAATAGCAACTATGAATGAAAGACTATAACAAATTTTCAAAACATTTCATTACATTTTTCTAATTTTCCTTAAATTTAAAAAGAAAAATAAACCAGCCAGTAACTCTTGTCATAGCAGAAATAACATAATTATATTGTACATATGTTCTCATTCTTCAATCTACTTTCATGGTGGCAGACTGATAGAACTATATTGTTTACTTCAATTTTTTACTCTAGAAGAGGACAGTTAAGTGATGAAACACGAGCTAGTACATAACTCAGTGTTAAACGTAATTCCTTCTCTTCTATGAATTCCCTGCATTTTCAGATTAGTGTTTCATTAACTGTGTTTGACAGAGGAGTTCCCTGCAGGTATCATTGCTTCATCTCTACCTGTACTGATTATTCCCATGTTTAAATAAGCCATTTTAATCAGCTCAGTGTTGCTTCTACATATGAACTATCTCATGCTTCAGTCTCCTGCATAACTATTTCATAAGAACACTTCCTAGAGAAAATGAGGGAATTAGGCCTTACCCCTATCAGTGGAAGGGAGTTCCTAATTTGACTCAAACTATATGATGAAACTTTAGTCTTTATGACCTCACTGAGCTGCAGTGTGAACATACCACTGTGTAGAGGAAAACAGGGTTAATACCATTCTGAAACTTCTTCTGTGGCAAGTCAGTCAGAGCTCCCACTTTCTTAGACATCCAAATCAATTATCCTTCAGATATTAATCTAAGATTCATTATAATGCCTCATCACTAACTAAGCTAATTTTCATTTTGGTATCTCTGCATTGTTCCATTTTCTCCTTAGAGTGATAACCATGCAGTGTCAGCCCCATTGATGAACAGTTTCTTCAAAGTACCCTTGGTTTATGAAAAATAGAGCACCCAAAGCCCTCTCAGGGGTTTGTCATGTTGATGGATCAGTATCTGCCCTTAGTTTTTACCACAAAAAAAATGTACCAATTTCAAGGCTTTTTGGTGCTTTGACATACAATCTTTTTCATATGTGTGCCTTGAAAATATCAAGAAGACTGCTTAGTAGTTTCAGCTCATATTAGTATAATGAAAATGTGCTTGTAATGAGGAGCTGTTTATTTTTGCTCTGTCTGGTTTATAGTCAGAAGTGATATGCAAACATGAAAAATGTTTGCAAAGATGCCATTCTAAATCTTAAGAAAACCCCTTCAGAACTTCCTTGTGGAACCCTCTGAGATTCTTTTTCATCAGCAAAGGGTTCACTGAAGCTTTAATAATAAATGATAAAGTTTGGCTGTGAGCTGAAGTTGACAAATAAAATCAGGAGTGGCAGGATTCAGTACTAGCACTGCTGGTGATACAGGAGACCTATCCTCCTCTAAAAAGCCAGCTGAGTATACTCTTCACTTAAGTGTGAGTATTTGTCCTGTTGTAGCTGAAAAAATCAGTGAAGCACTGGGGTTTTGGGAAACCTGAATGTACTGTAATTGAATTCAACCTCAGTGGGTAATGAATTCCATGTAAAGAAAGGGCAATTGCTCAGAGGGAGTTAGTGGCTTCCAAATGCATTCCTGTTAAATCTTCTATCTTCATATGATTATCTAGAGAAGCTTACATGTCTCCTTCATGTAGACTTATAGGAAAAATAAATTAAAGGCGTCAGAAAATTAGTGAACAGATTTTGTAAGTTTCTTCCTGATTTTTTTCTTCAATGCAGACATAATGGCATTGAATTTATTCTTTCACCTTGTTGCCAGGATAAAGTAAGGTTTTATTACCTAGCATTCTCATTTTTACCCTTTCCCCCTTGTATTGCTGAGTGTTACTGTACAGTTTATAGTATTAACATGGCATAATATTTGTCCCTGCCTCAAGACATTAGCTTTTAAAATATAAAACAAAGGCTGAAAGATACATATAAACAGACTGGCAGAAATGGACAAGGAAATCACATGACTGCTATTACTGGTGGGCCTGATAGGTAGTGTCCTCTCCTGTATGCAGAGGGGTAACAAAGTTGTAAGAAAAGTTTTGAAAGAGAATTAGTTGGTTTTGAGGGTATTTATGAGAAACTTATTTGAAGAAGAAGAAAGTAATTTATGTCTTTAGGCAGTAATAATAAATCCATTCAGCTGATTCTAAAAGCTACAGGACTTTTTTTAAGAATGTTTACAAAATTACTTTTTACAAATTATGGGTTAAAAAGAAAGTAAACCTTTTGCTAGTGAGGTTTTAGAAGTGATCGTAGTGTTTTTGTGATCTTTAAGTCTTTTCTCACTATCCTGAGAAAACAGTAAATGAAGTTTCTGCAAAAAATTTTATTGTGTGTATGCAAAGTCTGAAGTCTTTTTGGAGATTTTGTCTCATTATTTGATAGAAAGAAAATAAATAACAAAATCACTTTAAAGAGCAACGTGAAAAAGGTTGAGTGAAATATATACGACCTGAATGCTTTTTGCTGTCTGTTAATTATAGATGAAATTATTAGAAATTAGAGTTCAAGTTTAAGTTTTTGTCATTCATGTATGTCCCATTGTTTTCCCTGTCTTGCTTAGGTCTGAGTTGCACTGAGCTCAATCAAAAATACTTATTACACTTTAGATTCTTTATGTGGTAATGAAGAAATAGTTGTTTAGGCGTTATGTACCCAAAGAGTGGAAAAGTAGAATACTGTGCTGAGTAAGGCCTGTCTACTGGATGCATTTCATGGATGTAGTGAAACAACAGCATTCAGTGCTGAAGCAGTTAACAGTATTGGCACTTAGGGCTTTATAATTAGGCACTGAAGATAAAAGAGATGTTGCCAAGCCTAGTAGGCCTAAAATTAAACCGACCAGCTGTGTTTTAGTTTTAGCACATGTGAATGTGACGCAGGTGCATGCTATATACCATCTTTCAACTCTTTCTCCACAGCCCACTATGCTCTCTATTAGAATCTTGCTCTTTTACTATTTCTGGAAGCAGATTCTTATTATCATGAAAAAAAAGGAGATAGTAGATAAACAGATTAAAAATGAGCTGAGCCCCAGGAAGGCACAATAAGCTCCGCTGTATAGGCAGTATGGAGAGAGATACGATGGAAATCTGTTTCCTCTCTCTTCTGCTGAAGCTGCGTAAGAACCTAACATTGTCTGTACGTGTTAACAAATTATTCATAAATGGAAAATGCATAAGCAGCTGCAGAACCAGGACTCCTTTTTTCTCCCCACCGCTTAAATAGCTTTGGTGTCATTAGCACAGGCTTTATTTTGTGTATTCTCACTCTCTCTTTATCTCCTTCTCTTTCTGTGGACAAGCAGATCTTCCATTCCCTTGAGTGCAGGAGGCGAGCCTCACTGGAAGGATGGAATAGGTTTCCAGTCGAGGATTTAATTACAGCTGTGTGGGATGAAAATAATTTGGATCTCAATCCCCTTTTGTTGTTTTTTTTCTGGGGACTTCTCAGCTCTTTTTATAGGCTACTCTGCAAAAGCTGTAGAGTATTAACTATGTTTGTGAATTAATTTAAGTGCTATTGTTTTGGGGACTTTATGTTTAGCTGTGCCCTTACCCTGTCTCAGGATCATAGCAGTACTTGAGTGCTTGTTTCTGTTTATGGTCCCTGAACACATGCACAAAAGTCTCCTTATGTGCCTGTAACTTAAACATCTACAGATCTGAGGTTTTTCTGGGATTAAGTTAAATTTAAGTCATGCAGAATTGTCCTCTGAAATTCAGGAGGCTGAAGTCAGCCCAGCCTCCACCTCAGCTCAAGTCTTAGCACACCTGAAGGTCATGAAGTCTCAGGTGGGTTCCTTCCCAGAGGAGCAAGTCAGCTGTTTTGGGACAAGCATTTAGAGAGCTCTTGGGCTACAGTAAGACTCAATGGAGCTGCAGGACCTGCAGCCAGATGCTGGTATAGACCAGGAGAGGACAGAGGGTGCTCTGAAGATTACTGCCCTTCAGGAAGAAGCAGAGTGGAGGAGTAAGGATTCCCCTGCAGGGATGTGGGCTGTGGAAAGGACTGATTTCTAAACCAGTTTTATTCCCCTGACCTAGTTGCTTGGAAAGTCTTCTGTTTGAAAAGGTGAGTGTTCAGATTTTTATTCTAATCAAATTTTTAATTTTTTAGAGTTTAAAAAAACCTTTTGGGTTCTTTAGAGGAAGTCCCTCTAGGGAGGAACTCTATATAAATCCACCCTATGGCATGGCTGAAATAGGCTTTCAAAACAAAAGGGAAAGGAGCTCATACTTCATTTAAATAAAATTGTTTGGGATTTTTTTTTCCTGTAAAAGGAAAAGTAAAAATTTTTCTAAGGCTAATGTAGCCATGGCTCAATAAAGCAAAAATCTTGACTCCCTTGCCTCACTGAGGAGTTAGAAGCTATAGGAGTTGAAATTAAAGCAACCTATGCTCTATAGCCTTAGCTTTTACTGCCCCTGGAAGTTCAGCAGTAGCTCCATCTGAGCTGGTCTGTATTCTTTTCATGGCTGACTTTCCTAGCTCTGGCTGCTCTGTTTCCCTGTTAGCATGTCAACACTTTTGCTTCTGCTTGGCTTCACTCTAACCAAGATTATAGAAACTGAGAAAGCTGGAGTTCCAGCTGTTTGAACTCTCCAGTGCTTCTTACCTTCTTGAGTTCGTGTTCCTCACTACTCTCACTTCTATTACTGTGTGACCACTTTTATGATATTACTTTTTTTGCACATGGTCCTATTTAGTTTGAATGGGGCTATGTTAAAATCAGATAATTGTAGAAATGCTACTGTAGACTTGGCAGTGTTAGGTTTACAGTTGGACTCAATGGTCTTGAAGGCCTTTTCCAATTAAAATTATTTTATGATTCTGTAAGCAGGCACAGTTTAAGATTCTTAGTATTAATCCTCATTGAACTGCAATCTACCATTTGAGTCAACAGAAGTAAAATATTCTTCCCAAAGAAGTACAGTGAGGAAACATCTCTGAAGTGTATATTACCATATGCTTCCTTCACCTCTGACATGCTGGTTTTCTTTAAAACATGAAACAGGATGACAGTAAATTGGTGAAGGAAGCATTATGGATCCAACAGGACGTGTCCCAAACAACCTTTACTCTCCCCATTGTAAAGATGAAGGGCTTTTCTCTAAACTCTGTGAGACCACAGCGGGGGAAACTGTTCTGGTCATTAAGTGCTATAGTTGACTAAGCTTGGCTTTGTTCTGGATTATCCTCCCTTTTTTTGAGGAAAGTGATAGAATCCAGAGCAGTTTCTCAAGTACACCCTAGTCAGAGCAGATGACTGTAACAGCATAATCTTCTTTAAATAAGTTTGGGCATGCCTTGAAGATTAATTTCTAGCCAGCTGCAAGTGATTAGGGTTTGGTTGCTGGTGAAAGCATCCATTGCTTGTGTATACTTTGTCTCTGGCTCTTGACATAGATAACTTTTTTGTGTCTGTTTCTTTGATAATATTATGGGTGAGTATACATTTACCTAGACTATAAGCCTCTCACAACTGAGTCTGTGTCTTTGTCTGGTAGAATTTTCGATAGTAGAAAACAAAGTCAGGAGCATTCCCACAGAAGCCCAAAGTTTTAAAGGCCGCATCCTTAGAAGGATGCGACACTATTGGCCTGTTCTAGGCTTTACACCCTACCTTGTGCTGAGCATTTTGTAGAGGTTTTCTGTAAGGAACTCTGCAGTTTTTAAAGTGTTTGAAACTTATGTTGAACTGAGGATTTCCTCCTCGGAGCTAGCCTTCAGCAGGTAAGTACATTGGTCTGAAAGTGGAGCCTAACAAAGAATAGTTATAAAGGAGTATTTTAAAACCACAGTCTTATACAAGTATCAGAGAGCAAGATTAAATGCTTTCACTTGCCTGCATTTCCTTTCCTAATATCTGTATTTATCCAATAATTTTAACACTCCCATCTGGTAGTACTTCATTTTAGGCTTGCTATTGAACAGTTGCACAAGTATAAATCAAATAGTTTCTTTTTTCCTTTCTTTTAATTTGGGTCTAGCTTCCTTTTTATTTCTCCTCCATGTTAACTTGACAGATAATGTAGCTGACAGACCTGGAAAAGATTCCAGAGTATCTTGTCATGCTGCTGGTTTTCTCATGGTCTCTTACAGCTCATCTTTTCTTCTTTGCTGTCAGCACTGCACAAAAAAATAGAAGTGCCCGTTTTTGTATGAAGAAATGTATGACAGTTTATCCGGGAGACCATTGCCAGCCATCAAACTTAAGATTTGAAAATGTCATATATTATATTCTTAAAAAAACCCCCGAACAACCTGAAAAGCTTTCTGAAGCTGCATGCTGTTCTCTGCCGTTTCCAATTTCTTTTTCTCAGATAACTATTTTATCACAGGTTTGGGTTTTGGGATTTGTTAGTTAATGAGGAATAACAGCAAGCTAAACAAGTGCATTGTAGATTATAGAAATTAAATCCTGGAGACTTTACTTCCCAGAAATACTTTAGTTCTTCAGTGTGATATTGATGAAAGCAGTTATTGTAGTTTTCTTTTGTGTGTTGCAGCATGTACTGTTGAGGTTACTATCTAGTATCAGAAATAACTTGTTTAAGCAACTTCAGAAAAATCAAGAAAATACAGATGCAGAATAACTGCCTGAACTGCTACCCAGTCACTCCACTGGAAAAAAGTGCTACTATTGCATAAATTAATTTCTAATTTATTATTTGATATTTGTCCTACAATAACATTCATTAGGGTCTTGGTGTTCCATTGAGCTAGCCTATGTATATATACACACAAAAATAATAGTAATGAAATTGAAGCTTTGCATACTAATCATTCCATGTTTTTCTGTTTTTATAAACATTGTCATGAAGGTGGGACAATGGAAGTTTTAATGAAGAAAAGCACAAAAATTTTAGAACACTGCTTTTTAAACTCGTAATTTTAACTAAATTTTTGAGATTGCATTCTCTTTTCTCATGTACTGTCTCTGTGCTGCAAGCAGAATACTTGGTTTTCTTAGCAACATTAATATATTGACTTTCTGTGAACATCCTGAATATCTTGATTAAAAACTTTTAACAAATTTAGAACAAAATAAGACTCTATTCAATAGTAATAATAAAATGGAACATAGATATTTCAAGGAGACAGGAAAAATGTAGGGATAGTTGCAACTCATTACTCCTACAATGAGATTTCTGTAAGTTTCAGCACATTAAAGAACTAGTCATTATAGTGTTCTGTAATACTTGCTATAAATGATTGCCTTGCAGCAGTGTTTATGAATAATTACAAGGTTGTAATATGAAAAATTGGAAAGACTTTAATGAAAAATGAAGTAGCAAATATGCTTTTGATGGGAATAAATGCCCTTAATTCAGGAGTTTAAGTGTATATGTATCTTTAAATTGCAGAATACATGGAAACAGGAAATGCAAGTATTTCAGAGGAGCGCCCACTGGAAGGTGCAGAACATCAGTCCTGCATTTTGTCCCCAGAGGTTCTTCCGTCTCCAAAGGCTAAAAGTAAATACGTGTACCCTGTGAATATGGAAGCTGTACTGACTTCTCTTTAATATTAAAATTATATTGCCAACACAATACACAATGAAACAGAGAGATTAAGAAAGTTACTGATATTGAAAAGCTTTTTTCCACTATTAATTACCAATCTTGACTGCACATGTAGTAATCCATGTCATATAGGAAAATAAAGAATTTTATTTTCAGAAAGGACAAGTCACTGATGGATTAGAATGTATTACACTACCTGAACTTTTTAATTTATCTGATCTTACACATTTCATAATCAAGAAAAACAAAAGGATACTAGAATGTCAAAATACTCTGCAGGCATTGTTCACATTCAAGTTAAAGACTGAATTTACTTTATCTTTCCCAGTGAGTACCTTTTCCAATTGTGTTACATCTGGATGCCTATTTCAAAGGTCGTGTGCACTGCTCTTCCATTAATCTTCTAGTTTATCTTTCATACACTGTGATTATCAGTGTTGTGTGCACATGCTTTCATCTTATGTTCTGATTCACACTTTACACACCATAGCCATATAAATAGGGCATTTCCTGAGTGTGGTGGTGTCCTGCTCTTCCATGAAAATCATCCTCTTGTAGCACCAAACCTGACTTCTGCCTTCTATAATCATCCAAAGTAAATGTAATTGACTGCTAGTAAATAACTAAGCCTCTCTTCATTGTTTTTGTTGTGTAGGTGTTTTTTTGTTGCTTTTTTTTTCTCCAAAAAAACCCAAATTTACAGGGACAGCTCTCATTCATGAGAAAACTAAGCTTACTGCTGCATGTCAGATTATGATCTTTATGGTGATAGAAAACAAATACTTTAGTTCCAGCCATGTTTCCCGTTGGGGTACTTGACAGACATATGTTGTATGAAGAGAAATAGTTCCTTTGATATTAGTAGAATCATGAAGTCAAATACCCTATGCAATAGAAATGTCTGTCTTGAAATAAAGTAGTAACTATTTTTAAAATGTTTTATTTCTTAATGATAACATAGTGATCTCGCATTCCTTGATTCCACTTTCAAGGTATAAATACTGTAAAATGTACTAGCTGACTTTTGCTTGTCTGTTGTGTAATCTGGTTACACAAGGAAAGAAAATTGTACTTGATTGTGATTCCCATCTATCTGTCTGCCATTCTCTGACAATCTAATTTCAAATACTTTAAACCAAATTTGGAAGAAGGATAGCAGTACCAATTACCTCTCTGACTTCCATGAAAATAGGTAGCTAGGTAGAGGGGGGAGATCTTAATTGGTACCTTCACTGAAAGAAATAGGCAAAATGTGTCTTTAGTGTATTTGTTCTGGCAGCAATTGGCCAGCCAGTTAGCATACACTGGCTCACAGGTCAGTCAACACCCTTGCAGTTCCAGTTTTCTCACACAGAATACATTCTCAGCCAGTAAGAAATACTGAAGGCCATATATGGGAGAACATGGGATTGGGGACATGAACATAATTCTGTAAGAAACATTAATACTGTTTATTTTTAGGGCACTTTATCATTATTTTAGAATATTTATTAATATTTAAATTTTTATATATTATAATATGAATCTGGAAAAATTTCAATTTTCTAATTAAGAAACAGAATATAAAGAAACCTGAATATATCTTTAATTTACAAATTTTGTGCAAAGTTACCATTGACTAAGAGTAATGAGTTTTGAATGCAAAATTTCTGTTGCTTGGGTATTAAAGGCAATTAGATACTTTTAATTAACAACTTCTGTTCTTGGCTCTGAAAATTTCACTTATAACTTGCAGTAGTTGTAATTTTAAAAATAATTTAGAATATTTAGATTTACATAGCATAACAAACAGTGACTACAAAGAAAAATTACACAAAAAGAGCTCTAGACTAAGTAGATATAATTTTATCCAGGGTTTCTTTAGTTGCATATGTGTATTTATGCTGAACTTAAACTCTGTTTTTCCTTTTCAGCATTTTATTCCCAAAGATGGAGTAAAATGGAATTATCTCTGTATTTTATCAAGCCTAAGGACTGTAGTTTCCAACAATGACTCTTGTAAACTTAGTCAAGAGAGGGGTTTCTTATTTGCCCCTGGAAAAACTTGGCTCTTACTCTCGCTTTCATTGCTGTTACTGATGGTAGCTGTGTAACACATATGCAATAGATTATCAGTACCTAATTCAGTTGTTAGTAACTGTGGAGGTCTTGCTGCTGCTAGTGGGCTATTTGCAAAAATGTTAGCACTCAATGTGATTCAAATAGTTATTACTACTAGTACTTCTAATAGTGGCCCTCAGTTAATATAGACATATAAAGTCCATTGTCTTACTATTTTAGTAGATTTCTGAAGTAAAGATACCTGATAAATTAAGGAGAAAATGTGAAACACAAGGCAGAATGCACTAAACTTTTTTTTTTTAATTTTTTTTTTTAATAGACTACTGTGGGGAGGCATGTTTTAAACTTGCAGGTTTTGCCCAGTGTATCCTTCCACCATTCCATTTAATCCTTGGAAAGTGAGCAAGATTTTTTTATAAAGCATAGCTACTTTGATGGGACTGATGTGCAACTTGGAAACTCAGTTTTAGCCTACTTACAGTTTATGGAACCTATGCAATGTGTTCATCACAACAGCAAATGTGAACCTGATGCGGAGTATAGGATGCTGGTTTTCTACGTTTGTAGAAACTTTCCTTTCATGGATTAATTTTACATTCTTGGATAGTTGCTATTTCTAGCCAATTTTCAGGATTAGAAAATGGACAAAGAGTAAGTATATATTGTCATTCATCCTAAGTAAGTGCAAGGTATAGGGGAATGCAGAAGTATGTAGAATACCTCTGGTGATTCCCATTCTAAAATGAGATGCCATTATTTTTGAAGAGAGAACTATGCATGAATATTACTTAGATGATAAGGCATGGAATATAGCAGATACTCAATAAAACTTAAAGAATGTACATTTCCTTTTTAGGCATAAATTAGCCCTGGTATTCTAGTTACTGACTAATGGTGTGTCTGTTTTTAAAGGTGAAGCTGTGACTGGAGAATTATCAAAGCTCTTAGATGAAATCAAATTGTGCCAAGAAAAGGAATACTCTTTTGAAGATCTGTCTCATACAATATCAGACCATTATCTGGACAATTTTAGTAAAGTGTCAGAGGAAGAACTTATGACCAGTGGAAGCCAAACCAAGCTTAATGTAGTAAGTAAGATGGGATACAAAGACAATATATTCAGTTATATCTGCTTTATTTATGGGCACATTCAAGAAAGAATTAATACAAGAATGAGAATAGTGCAAGTTTAACATCATAATAGAAAAAAATTTAGAATTTAATGTTCCCCTTATTTTACAAAAATACTGCTTACCACACCTCAGAATGGCTTTTTATGGCATTGCTAATATGGACAAAAGTTCAGGTTAGTTGTTCTTTTGAGAGTGGGGAGTGCACAGAAGGGTTTTTTGAGAAATTGGTTGAAATCAGTATGCAAAGTACCATACCAAAGACTAAATTCTTGCAGAATGTGAACAGAAGTGCCTCCCAAAAAAGCAGCTAAGCATCTTCAGTTATGATTCCTACATTCTTACATTCTTCTTTTATTGCTATATAGCTTTCCCTGTAGCCTAATGGTATTAAAAACTAAGTCTCTAATCCTGAAAATTGTTGTGGTTGTGATACTTCAGTGATTTCCAACTACAGTTGAAAATATGACTTCATTACTACTAATCTTGTGAATAGAGTGCTCTAGGATTCATTTTTTCTTTACTGTGTAACAAGGCTTTTATTTTTTTTTTTTTATTAAATTGAATTATCTTCCTCAATAAGTAAGTAAATGAGATTGCCTAGGGAATAAAGCACAGAACAGAGGGGGAAATGCAAAGTGCTAAATTTCAATTAATGTTTTTCATAAGTTGAGAAAAACTATGTTCTCATATGTGTGTGTGGGGGGGGGGGGGGGGGGATAGCAAGTTAAGGACTTTTATGCTCTGAGGATTTATTACAATATATGTAGACAGAATTAGATTTACAAGATGGTTAGCTGCTCTGAAATGCAGTAGATGCTTTTGTAAAGCCCTTCTAGATGTTTGAATTATTAGATACATAACCCATATTGAAGTCAGTTTGAACAAGGTACTGATCTCATTTAAACATTTTTATACATCTTTCTGGTGTCTCTCTGTATTTAGGTGCTGACTGCTGTTTAAATCAGCTTAGCTGCTGTTTTGCAGAAAATGTGATACATATGATTTTTGTCTACTCCGACTGAAAGTTTTACAGACCTAAATGAAATACAATGTGAATAGGGAGTATTCAGACATTAAATGTGTAGTTTACATGCAATAGGCAAATACAAAGGTAAATTAGGCAATACTTTTTTTGAGATTTCATCTATTTGTATATTGAACTAGGTGTGAAAACAAATCTTCAAAAATGGGGACCTTTTAAAGCAGATTATGGCTCTCTACTACTAGTGCACCCAGCTCTTCTTTCAAAGAAAACTGGAATTGGGATGATGGGTACACACTCCCAACATGAAGTCAGGATGCAGGCTAGAGCATGTCTTCTAGAGTAAAACCAAGTATACAGGCCTACATGGAGAGGACTCTGCTGTGATGTGGGATTTTCCTGTTTGATCTAAAAAATCCATTTCATTTTTTAAAAGTATTTTAAGGTCACTCAGTCTGCTGCTACCTTGTGTCAAAAAAAGGAAGTTGCTCTCAGTTTTGACACACCGTCTTTTAGTTTTGGGGATGAGCTGCTTTCCCTTGGTGTATAGGCTTCCTGTATAGTGCATGGGTGATACAAAAACCCATGCATGCTATAATGGACCCATCAAAGAGTAATCTGAAAGAAGCACTAAAATGAAGATATATGTTTAGCTCTGAAAATGGGTGCAAAGGTGAATGCTGCCAAACTGTTCTGGGGGCAGGACCAGCAAGTGTGGTGGTAGAAAAAGTGTGACTGTAGGGTGATGACTGAAGAAACTTAAATGACTATTTATGTATAAGAATGTGGAGATAAAGAGAAAAAGAGAGAAATGGAGACATATATAGATAAGGAGAGTCAGAAATAGATTCCTTGGATATGTATTAAAGAAGAGAAAGAAGCTTACAACTTTTTTCTGACCAGTTTTCTCCTCCCTGGGAAGCTCCTGTAAAAATTTTAGTAGAGTAACTGAGGTCATCTCTGTTATTCATTGTTCACCAGCATCTGCTCTAAAGAGATGTTGAAGTCAGGTCCCTGATAATACATCAGATGATGGCATTTCCAGAGATGATGACTGGTGCAGGCTTTTCAACTTCTTCTGTAGTCCAGTGATCTGAACAAGTTCTAAAACCCAAGTTGTGATACTTCTTGACCCTTGGGGAGATTCTGCAAAGGAACTGGCTGCTAGGAGACATCTGCATTTTTTTACATGATGCTATTGTTCAGAGAAATAGAAGGTCAAGACTGGGGAATTTCTGTTTAGAATAGTAGCTTGTGGGTCAGAAAATTTTGGAGCAAGGAGCATAAGGAGCCACCTCAAGAGGCTGACATGGGCATGTGAAAGAGAAAGCATCAGGAAGCAGAATGTGTTTCTAAGTGTTTCCTTTAACAACTGGCTCTTTTGAAGAGGGCCAAATCACCTGTGGCTCAGGCTAAATAAGGTTTACGTTGATTCAGGACTGCAGAAAGGAGTGTCTGTCTATCTAGGATCCATAGCCTGGAATTGTCTCCAGAACCTAAGTGCTCTTTTATTTGAAAGAGCAGGGCTCACTGTTTTTGTTTAGTGTAAGGGTAGTGGAGCTGCCTGCTTTTTAATGCAGAAACTTAACAGTAACAGGCTTAATCTGGAAAGTGGAAGAGTGGGATTCAGTTCTCTCTATGGCATAAGGGTGGGTTTTAACATCCCATGTATAGTCTCCCAAGTAAAAGAACTGAGCATCAGCCTGTTGATCGCCTCCAGCATTCTTTCTGGATTTTACGGTGCAGATACCAGTCCAATCCTGAGAACAAGACTTAGGGCTCTGTATTCACTATCAAATTCTGGCCTCAGATGTCTTGCATTGTTTGTTGCTCAGTGATACAGCTGAGAATACTCTCGGAATATTTTACAGTATGTAGTATACTATATTTTATTTTGAAGAAGTTGGAGTATGGAACTCTCTTAGACCAAGGACAGAATTGAAACTATTCTTCCATTTGAGTTATTGAACAATTAGTCATCCAACCACTTTGTAAGTTGTTCTGGTATGTTTCGACTAGTGGGCATCCTTATTTTCACCAAGTTTTGCATTGAAAACACCACTCACTTTATTGCTTAATATGTTTCTGTTGACCAGGTATGTGATATGTGTGATGGGAAGGCATTAACAAAACCAGAGGTTTATGTGCTTGTAGTATTTTAAAGTCAATTAGGAAGCAGAGTTTGCACAACTCTGAAGTTAGGTGAAACTGAAAAAGATTTCTGAATGAAAGTTTTGTGTTTAGTCACTTTAATTCCAAATTACTAGTCAGACCTGTATTGACTCTTAAATTTCCTCAGGACATGGAAGAGCTGAATAGGAAAATTGAAGGGCAGGATCTTGAGGACTGGAAGGTATGAATGTCTGGGAGGGGGAGGGTACAATGGAGCAGTAAGTAGAAGTAAAGAGAATTATCTGTTCCTATTCACAGTGTAGATGTGAATAGGAACGGATCTGGAAATGTGTAAAAGTTTCCCCACAGGACAATTCTATTCCAAAAGCTTAAAGGGAAAATGGGAAAAAAACTTGGGTTCTGAAAAAGCAGACTCTGTTAGCTTTCTGAATGAGAACAATTAATGAAGAGGATGAAAACTGTGAATGCTGGTTTGCTGAATAGCATGAAGTTGGATGAGAATAAGTTAACGTGATCTTTTGTTTGAAGAGTATGTTATAAAGAATACACTAAAGAAAGTCAAGTTAAAGCTACACTGGAAACTTCATCATTTCAGTGCTTCATTTCTATGGCTGTGTTTCTATATACTTTTGATGTGCTCTCATGTAAAATATTCATTCCGTGTTTCTTAGTCTATCTTCACCAGTTGTTAAAAAGTGTGTATTATGAGATATCAGACAACAACCCTCTGTTCATTGTCTCCACAAAATTTAAAGGCCAAATTGAACATAATTTTGCGACTGGAATGTGGGTTATTATGCCACTTCAGAGAGATCTAAAAAGGCATTTATACACCTACACATCACTTCAGTTGCCCATTTTTCTCAAAGGCTTGCACACTGGGTGGGTTTGGTGGATTCACAGATTTTTATTTTTATTTTTTTTACTCCCAGTTCCTTTCTGCCTCTTCTCTCATTTTGATCATTGTGACTTGAATACACTCTTCAGTTCCCCTGTGTATAGAAAGACATGGAAAGTCCTGATAGCTGCTGCACAGGCAAGCTGGAGAAGCGTTATACCTGTATATCGTTCAGTGCTGATGTATTACAGTTTTTCTTTGTTTGCTAAATAAAAAACTTTCACTCCAAATAACTAGGATTTGATTGTTCAGCAAGTCAGAAAAGAAGCTGTGCTTCAAAACATGTTCCAGAAATCATGAGGTGGAAAAAGATGTAGGAAAATCCTTGATTGTATCACAATTTAGTTAACTTAGGCATTTCCTTTTAAAAAATTAATCTCTTAAGTATGTTTGCTAGAAAAATCAGCTTCTTCCAATAACTTGTAGTAGCTTCAATTTAAAAAAAAAAAAAAATATAACAAATATTTATTTTTCCAATAGATGGCAGTCTGGTTCAGTAATTTCAAGAACAAAAGTAGCCATCTTACATAAGATTTTTTCAAACTTTTTTCATTGCTACATTAAAATAATGCATTTTTAACATGGTTGATAGTACAAATTGCTTAAAAGCAAACACCTGTAATTCTTATAAGAGGTAAATTTATTGAACATTATGATATACATTTAAACTACAAACAAGTATCAGGGCTAAATTTGGAGGTGCATTTTAACACAGTAATTACACATCAAGTGTGTATTCAAACAATCTATGGGAATTCAAGAGCAAGTAAGAAAGTTTAAATACGTATAACTTGCAAAGCAGGGATCCAGAATAATTAAGTGTGTTGGGAAAACGAACAGAAAAATATCGAAGTGTTATGTCATGAGGAATCTTCCTGAGCTCCTGCAAGTAAACTTCTTTAATTTAGATTCCTCTGTCCTTGGAATACTAACCAGGTTAGT